GCACAGTAGATGGAATGGAAGGCCTCTGTATGCTTTTACGACGGCTTGCTTACCCCTGCAGATGTGGTGATATGGTGCCTCGTTTTGGCAGTCCAGTACCCGTTCTAAGCATGGCCACAAATCATGTTATTGATTTTCTTTACAATACCCACGGACATCGTCTAACTCGATGGAACAACGCACTGCTAAACCCACCTGCACTAGAAATTTATGCTCGATTAGTTCACTACAAAGGGGCTGCACTTCAGAATTGTTTTGGTTTTGTTGATGGGACTGTGCGCCCCATTGCCAGACCTGATCAGCATCAGAGAGTGATGTACAATGGACATAAACGCGTTCACGCCATAAAATTTCAGTCTCTCGTCTTGCCCAATGGGTTGATCGCAAATCTTTACGGCCCCGTAGGTAACTATGTTCTTTATCAATACACATATCCTGTAATCCGAAAGGCAAAGCTAGAGGGTAAATATAGTTATAAACATGGTTTTCAAATGGCAGCATTTCCTTAATTTTCTGATATAGAGTAAGTATTGCAAGTAAAATTTAGACAGAAAACAAATTGTATTTATGAATTGAAGGCTGGGCCATCAACTTTCATAGTTTTGGCTTGTCACACAATATTTTTTTAATCCATGCGTGACGAAAAGCAAGAATGTCTGAGCTTGTAGTTATCTCTGAACTTACATTAATGCTCTGGTATCTTTTTAGAGGGAAAGAGACATGATGCTGGAATGCTGGCAGAATCTGGACTCCTACGAGACTTGGAGCAAAACGCATTTTCCACCACTGGCCAACCTATGTGTATATATGGAGATCCTGCTTACCCTCGTCGAGTGAATCTCCAAGGACCATTCCAAGGAGCAACTATCACTCCCCAAATGGAAATGTTCAATTTTTCTACAAGCTCTGTCTGCGTGTCAATGGAATGGCTGTTTGGTGATATTTTAAACTATTTCAAATTCCTTGATATTAAAAAGAATCTAAAAATTGGCCTAAGTAGTATTGGTAAAACATATGTTGTATGTGCACTCCTACGAAATGCTCTATCATGTCTCTATGCTAATCAGACCTCCATTATTACTTTAGATGAATTTAAAAAATCCAGATCACAACAAATATGAAAAGAAAATATATGATTACTATAGTATCAATTGAAAGACTAACTGATATTGGGAAAAACTGTTCTCACTTTCCTTATGAGTCTGTAGACCACCATAGTGGTCTACATAAAAAAAATCATCTGTCCAATGTCAATACAACATAAATTATCTTGTTTCAATTTTGCTACTACAGTCCCCAAAGTTGGCAGTTATTTAAAAAATTTGCCTTCATAATTGGAATTGGAACCATGACAATGTCTATGAATTCTTACATGACATTAGCTCAACACTTTTTAACAACAGCTTGCACATGAGAAATGGAATTAAAAAACACAATAAGGAATTTTGTAACGGTACTAATAAGTGCCAACACTGAGCAACAGTTAGTGATTTTCCTTGGGAGCCAACCTCTCAATAAGGCATAGAAGAACCTGTGATTGCTGTTGCTGCTGGTTTAACATTGACTGCATAACTTGCAGCTGTTGAGTTTCATTTCTTTGTTGCTGCTTCCGCTGATCTTCTTGCTGTTGCTGAATCATCCTTAACATTTCCTGCTGCATTGTTGTCTGCTGCGAACCTCTCATCCCTTCTTGTTTTTTTCATTTCAATCTCTTCCCTCCGCAAGGCCATCTTTCTTCTGCTTTCTTTTCCAAGAATCCAATAGCATCACCAGTACTTTTTCTTTTTTTCATTGTTGAAAATACTGTATCACTTTCCTCAGCTCATTTTTTACTTTGTCCCACGGTTTCCATTGCCTTCAGCCTCATTTCCTCAGCTTTAGCTCTCTCTTCTTAAAGTGCTACTGAAACGAAATTTTCGTATCTGAAATATTTGCTCTAACCTGTAGTTTTGAATATGCTGATCATCATGAGATAATTTGCTTTGGCCAAAAAGAAGCGAAAGATATCTTTTTTAACCGTTCAAATCAAAAATTTTACACAAAACCATGTCCGGGCCCTGGTACCGAGCGAAATGGATTGATGACGTCACTGGTTGTGTTCACTCCGATAGCGTGGTTTATTTCACTCACTGTTTGTTTGTATTCGGGGGCGAAGGAGATGGCAGACATTGAAGTTTTGTCAAGTGAATCTTCTTCTGAACGAAGCGAAGTTGTCTCCAGTAGCGAAGAGGAAGATGGTGGCGTAAAATGGGGTTGACAGGCCTACACGACTCCCAAGCGTGTGTTTAGAGTAGCCTATTCAAAGTTTAGCCCTCACGAGTATGTCTTTGAGCGACCGCCCTCTTTTGTAAGATACGAGCGGCGGATTTTTGTATAGTTCGCTCAGTAGTGGTTGTGTTTCTATTAAATGCCAGTTTTTCATGAGAATTTGCTTTATGTGTGGCACTGAGTACGCACATCAGGGATTGCGTCTTTTTCGAATCGTTCGCCTTTGTAGATGTACAGCTATTTTTTTGACTGTCTCGATCGTTAAGTTGTCTTGATTGCTTTCAGCTTGCGCCACGCGCGCTGATTCGATCGTACTACAGTTCTTAGTGTTCAGTGTTCCAGCCGTTTTGGCTCGTTTTCTTTTCTTTATTTCGGTATTAAAACGACCGATTTCACGTTCATAGAAGCACATGATCGCCTTTACTGTTTCTTGCTCCGCGTTGTTAAGGATTTGCTTTATCTCATTTTTGAAATCCTCGTCTGCTCTTATTTTGGCCCTCGCCCTATATTGTAGGGATTCTGGGCATGTTCTGCTAGGCATTTGGTACAGAGGGATTTGTTCGTTATCCTCAGACTTGCCGAGTAGATCATCTTCAGTGGCGGTGTCGTATGAGGCTTCCATGTTTTCTTCATTCTCTGAATGGCATTGCTTTGGCCCGGGGCGTTTAGTAGCCCATCTGCCGTTATAATGTCTTTCGA